AAGGCAAACACATCACACAGTGTTTCAAACTGAATATGCATATATTTTGACATGGCTCATTGCCCACAAATATGAATTAACATGACTTTTCACATGATTCATGAGAGCAAAGCAAATTTGAATATTTGTTTAAAAGAATGTCCATTCATGTGTTCTCGTAAAATCAGCATAAGAATAAAAGTAGTTGTAAACAACTATTTCATAATGTTCTAACAAAAGAAAACTAAGAATACTTAAAAAAAAAGAAATAAAAAATTTAAACTTTATCACATGCACTTCTACATCAATAACATATCAAAAATAAAACACACTCCTTGTATTCACTAAATAATTAACTATATCACAGTTAAAATAAATAAACAAAAGTGAAATTAAAAAAATTATGGTAAGAGATCAGTGGCAACTGGTCTGCGTTGTTTGACATGTCTACCTCATATGGGTTAATTTCAACAACAGCAATTTCCTGCATTTATATATATTTTGTTCTCTCTGTGCTCCGGTGAAGACAGCCGTGTCTCCATGTCCCCCCCCCCAACCCCCCCCCCCCCACACACACACACACACACTTCCCTGCTTTGCTCTCTTTTGTCGTGTGAACCCTTAAAGAGCCTCCAAAAAAGTTAAATCTGGTCCTCTGGCCATTCAAAAAAACAACACAAAACAAAAAAATTGTAGAAACTTTTTGTCTTTCATCAAAAGACTTCTTCAGTCTGAGGTGCTGTATTCAGCTCAGTCTTATAAATAGCACCTTCTTGTAGTGGATCAACCAGTTTACTGCTGACAACCAAAACCAGCTGCCGTAGAAACCGTCCATCCATGTTCGAATCCACCAGCAGTCACATGCCGAAGTGTCCCTGGGCAAGACACTGAACTCCTCATTGCCTCTGATGTGTGTCCCATCAGTGTATGAATGTGATCTAAAGCACTGATTAGTCTCTTTAGAATGATTTGTTCAATTATCTCTGCATAGATCTAGTAGAGTGCTGTATGAATGGGTAAATGAGGCACAGATTGTAGTGTAAAGCGCTTTGAGTATCTTGATCAGCTAGAAAGGCGCTATATAAGTACAGTCCATTTACCATTTACATAACTTCAAACACAATAATTGGCTCCTTTCTCGCCAGCAAGATGACATTCCATGTACCTAAAGCCAGGAATAAGCATGTCTGCGGCATGTCGAGAAGGCAGTCGTAACTGAGAATGGAGCAGCAGGAGCAACAATGCACAGGAATAAATTCAGCTTGGAAGAGTTTGGCTCAGAAACATGAAGTGGGGGTGGGACGCTTGACAGAAACAGAGCTGCTTTATTCATATTTATTTATTTATTTATTTATTAACCTTTATTTAACCAGGCAAATCCCATTGAGATCACAGATCTCTTTTGCAAGGGAGGCCTGGGCCTGAAGGCAGCCTACCACACACAACCTGTTGTTGCTCTCTAAAATAGTAATTGAATCAAGTGTTTACAAATGTAGGTAAATGTAGATGTTTAACAAACTGTTAAAATAGGCTGCACCAAAATGCAAGAAATATTATCTACTTTATTCACAAATTTAAAGGGGAGGACCTACAGGCTCCCTCCACTTCACCAGCACCCCACCTCCCCCCACCAGCACACCCGGTATTTGTGTTCCGGCATCAGTCAGTTTACAAATTAATCCATGCCTACACCTAAAAAGTCAAGTCATGTCAAGTCAGCTTTATTTATAGAGCACATTTAAAAAGAAGCTGTTACCAAAGTGCTTAACAACAACATCAATGAGTAAAATAAATGGGGAAAAAATAACACACACTAATGATAATACTGAAAAATTGAGCGGCTTCGGATGTTATCAGCCCATTAAATGGCCATTATTAGTTGTTATCATCCCCATATGTAGTGGTGAGACTGTCCCACCTACCTCCTAGTAGGTTTAAAGTTATGTTATCATCATTATTATTGCTGATAATAGGCAGCGTCGCACGGGGGTAAACCAAGAAGTGTCTTTTTTGTTTTTTTCAGCTTATGTAACCCTTTTCCTAACTCTAACCTTACATGTGACCAAGAGGACCAACCCTAAACTTAACACCCTTACCCTTGTGCCAAAACCTAACCAAGAGCATATCCTGAAGCATGCTCAATAATCCAGGTAGAAAAATCTAAAAAAGTTAAATCTGGTCCTCTGGACATTCAAAAAAAACAAAAAAAACAACAAAGCAAATCAACAAAAACATGTAGAAACATTTCGTCTCTCATCCGAGAGACTTCCTCAGTCTGAGGAGCTGTATTCAGCCCAGTCTCTTAAATAGCACCTTCTCAGAGTGGATCAACCAGTTTTGCTGCTGACATCCAAAACCAGCTGATCACATGCTCAAGAAGGACCATCAGCCTAACAATGGATCATTAGCACACTGATGGCTGTTTACTATTCACAGAGGGCTGAGTGATACTAGCAATCACAGCATTGTAAGAGGGGGACAGTTGAACCCGGAGGCCTCCACCCCTGTTTAATGATGGACGATTTCTTTTCACAAAGATGGCCTCCTTTACTCCTCTCTCAAACCATCGTTCCTCTCTGTCCAGGATGTGAACATCTTCATCCCTGAAAGAGTGACCGCTGGCCTGGAGATGAGTGTAGACCACAGAGTCCTGGCCTGATGATGTTGATCTTCTGTGCTGGGCCATCCTT